ATCGGCAGAGTGCAGCAGCGTACAGTGGTGGTAGGAGGACTTCCTGCTGAGTCTGGATGCAGTCCCTGCAGAAAAACCCAAACGGAAACAATAATGATGTCATCCTGCAGGGGGCGGGGTCTCTGAGGGCTTCCGCCTACCTGAGATCTTGTAGCGTCCGTTCAGCAGTAAGTCGAACCTGTCCGTGGCCTGGACGTCCAGCTCGGGGCGGACCCTCCTCAGAGCCTCGCTGATCACCTGCAGGTTCCTCCGACGGTCGTACGCTTTCTTGGAAGTGAAGAAGGTCAGGTTAAGGTTCCCCAGGTCGTGGTAGACCGTCCCGCCGCCGCTGCGCCTTCGGGCCAGAGCGACGTTCCTCCTCCTCATGGCCGGCAGGTCGCACTCTGCCCACGGGTTCTGGTGGCGTCCGATGACGACGGCGGGCCGGTTCCTCCACAGCAGGAGGATGCTGCGCCGCTGCAGGTCAACATGGCCGTCGATCCAATCCTCCAGGGCCAGGTTCTGGTACACGTCGGTGGACTGAGACTGGAGGACGAGCCCAGGACTACGGCAGCTGGGAGGGTCCATGAAGAGGCAGCTGGAGCTGGTCCAGGCCTGCTGGGTTCTGGTTCCAGCTCCAAGGAGGTGAAACCTCCTTCTGAGGTGGAACAGCATCACTCAGAGCTCCTGCTTCATTATCGTCTGGAATCACATTACAAACAAAACAGCTCAGTTTGGTCAATTTAAATTATCAGTTTAAAACAAAGGAATAATCTGCGGCAAACAGAACAAAATCTAACCTAAAATATTCAATTTACTGTGCTTTTATAAACACAAACGTTTAATTATTCGGTTATTTCAAACGTCACAAGCTCCGCCTTCTCTGATCTCCAGCATTAAAGCTGGGTAATATTTGCATTGGCAATAAAAACAAAATTTAACAAAATGTGATTTCAGCGTAAGCAAATAAAGCATGAAACCTGCTTTCTTTGCATCACCTAAAAGGCTGCAGTGAGAAACTTTGTCTTTCTCTTCTTATGGAGATTTGAAAATTGCATTTTGTTCAATTTTGAATTATATTGCTAATGCAACAAAATCTGTCTAAATAGAAAACAATGTTCTGCTGCATTTGGCACCATATTTATTTGCACTGCACTGAACTAGAGTGGAAATATTCATCAACTAATATAGTTTCCTTTTTGATAAAGCTTCTAGTTAGAGTGGCTCAGGTTATCCTGATCTATCTCTATAGTTCTGCTGCTATAGGCTTAGACTGCTGGAGGACATAGGGACCCCTTTTTCATCATTCTGCTTCATTCTATCTCTATTCTCCCACTCTGCAGAATCTGTTAGTTCAATCTCTAACGTTCTGCTCTCTCTGCTTTTCCTCATAGTAGCTTCATCTGGTTAATGCCTTCAGATGACATGTTTTTTACATTGGCTTTATAGAAATAAACCGATTTAATGAATTAATAACCCAGTTCTGGTTTAAAATAATCTCAATTCTTATTTTCGGCTAAATCGTTTAGCCCTAATTATGATAAAGCTTGTTTTTTAAAGTACTTTTTATTAAGAAAATTACAAATATTTTTTAATACATTCACTGCGTGAAAAGACAGAAGCCATAAAATTTTAATCAGACGCTGACCTGAAGCTGAGAGTCGCTGCCTGCGGACAGGTTAGCCTCCTAGCTTAGCCACTTCCGCTCCAACCCTTCAAAATAAAGGTCAACCCATGACGTGCTATATCTTATGAACAAAAAAAGCCGAGAATGGAGTTTTAAATGAATAATAGGAAATAAAGGAAACATAAAGGATATTTACAGATGAAGGAAAAAAAGGAAAAACTTCAGAATACAAAATAAATGTATATATATAATTTGATAGATAAAGTGATGTTGCTACACATTCATGTCCAGTAGGTGGCAGTATGCAGCTTAAATCCGCCATAATAGAAAAGAAAGAAACTAATGCAAACTACGTAAACATTTTGATAAATACTTTAGTCTTGATGTTTTTAAGGAATAATATAAATATATTTTTTCCTCATCATAATTCTGTAATCGACAGAGTATTAGAGGCATGCTGGAGATTTGATTCCTTATATTTTGAGAATAAATCGTAAAATTACCAGAATAAAGTCATCATTCAACAACCTGTTTCAGAAAGAAAGCTTGGAGCTCCGCCAATCAGCAACCAGAGTCCACTTTGACAAGATGTGACACATTTCTTTGACTAATTTTGGCAAGATCTTTTTAAAGATTATGTTTTATAATCCTTATTTCAATCCTCCTTTATTCCTTATTCATATGAAATAATGAGCTGTTAGTTAATTATAATTTAATGGATAGATTTATGTTCAAAGTTTCATTTTTTACACTAAGAAAGCATAAATTTACTGTGAATATTTGGGAATAATTCCAGCTTTTATTTTATTTTTGCCCACATACCCTACCCTTCAATTAAAGCGACCTATTACCTTAACTGATAAATAATATATTATTGAACATTTAAACTGTATTTACTTGCATATTTGCAGCCAAATAACGACAGAGAAGAGTTTGTGCTTTTATTCTGAAATACAAGGTCGTCTTTAAATCGGGAACTTCCGCTAAGTCCGTCGCTGTGAAGTTTCCGGGTTGGACCAACATGTGAACGGCTAACAGTTCTGCTTGGCAAAGTCTTTTCTTCTATGGTTGTTTTTATGTTGTTATTGTTTTTACTATCCATGTTTTTGTGATGTATTAATATGATTTGTATTTATTTCATAATAAAAAACTTTTTGTCTATTAATCATATTTATGTAGTATAAATGATAAGGCTCTGAATAATCCCCCCCTTTAACCACACACACATCCAGACATGTACATTGCTGCGCACACACAGGCCCACTTATGTGTGAACAGACTCGCTGACACATGCATATATGTCAGAATGTGTCTGAGTGGATATTTATTTAAATATTTTTGCTTATGTATATATGGTTTTTATGTTGTTATCCTGTATAATCTGAACAAAGTTTTTATATATATTTTATAGCCTCTTACATTTACTCTCTGCTTATGTATACAATTTATAGTGAATACATCCACAGTCTCTGTGTACATGTATATAAATATTTATATCCTGTATAGCACTTCAGGGTAGATGCAAACTATATTTTGTTGCTTTGTACTTATGACAGTGTAATGACAATAAAGTTGAATTCTATTCTATCCTGAGCTAGCTCTATAGTTCTGCTGCTATAGGCTTAGGCTGCTGGAGGACATAGGGACCCCTTTTTCATCATTCTGGTGACGATTGATGAGCGAGGTGAGGATGGACAGAACCAGGAGGCGGATCTCTGGATCCTCCATCAGGGTGAAGGACAGCAGCACTGTCAGCAGGTCGCTGCTCTCATAACGTTCTGAAACCTGAGCAGAGAGGGACGTCTTCGTTACATCAAAGACCTTAAAACTCGCAATATTCCTTTTTGGGATTTTTTGAGTCACATTGTGTCACATAGCATAGATTTTCTCAAATATGATTACAGATTAGTTTTACTTTGTTAAAGAAGCCTGTCTACTTTTAAGGCTAGGCTTAAAACTTTCCTTTTTGATAAAGCTTCTA